AAGCCTAAGCATGGTCAATGTTACTCTCATGAGGCTCAAGCTTGGTAATCAATACAACAATATCTTGTGTCATAACTTCAAGAGCATAGTTGATGACAGCAAATACACTACCAGTTAACAGTACAATCAAAATATTTTTTTTCGAATCATCTATCAAACATTATTTTATGATTTTTCTAAATAGATTTTTGAAATTTTAGTATTGTGGTCACACAAAAATAGTCACATCTCTAGATCTGCAACAAACTTGTACACTCGTATGATGACCTGAAAAAATCATGAAATTTAAGAATTTTGAGTTACAAGTGCATATAGATTGAATATTTAAAACCTCCTTTGTGAAATTTAAATTGATAATTATTTGAAAACCTCCATAGTGATCTATTATGTTGATCAAGGAAAATGAGAAGAAAACACTACAATAATGTGTGCACTGTGCGAATGCAATTATACCTCACTATGGGCTAAGATTTGCTTAAAAATGGATATGCTATATTTTTGGAAGATGTGTCAAAAGTATGACATGATAAACTAAAGTTTAACTGCAATTTATACATAATAATTAAAATCATGAGATATGTATAGAACGAGAGAGGATACGAAGAAGAGGTGGGAGTCAGAAGCGACAGTATTGAAGAGATTTTTCAAAGGTCTCCATTCCATTGGACGTTTACATGACCCTCAACAGATGTATATTGAAGATGGAATTAAGATAAGTAAATAAGGGGTTATACCATATGCAACAAAAGTTATCGATGAGGGAGGAAAAAATAAAATAAAATCACTTCACAAATCCTAGATATACCTCATATTGATAACACTACAGTTAATATGCAAATCTTAATTCTAAGAACAAAATGTAAGCATGTGTTACAGGTATAAGAAATAAAAAAATTATACTTTCTAATAGTCAGATATATTGAATTTAAATACTCATTATAAGTTGAATGAAAAGAAGAATCAGGTTACCAATTTTCAGGTCAAGATCTAATTTTTGAATAAGATTATGATTCGTGATGCTTTTATCAGTGACTTAGGACATTTGTTCATCCTAATTTTATACAAAACCTTCTGTAGAAATTGTTGGGAATAAACCTTGCAGCAATGTTATCAATACAACGACAAGAAAATTAAGAAAATAAATTAACAGAATAAAGAAAAGTAAAATACAACTCACAACACCAAAATTTACGTGGTTTGAGAAAATTTATTTGCCTACATCCACAAGATGTGATCCGGTCTTCTTTCTTTATTGTTGAAAGAAAATGGGTACAATAGTACAAGTCTCACCATTCATGTTTAAATCCTAAACCTGAGCCTTTAACATTTCGTACAATCTACTCCAACTTACCCTCTCAAACCCCCAATAAATAAGCTTGTCTTTCTCACAACAAAAGAATAAAAATTGAACTAATACAATTTTTGGGATGTACTTTAAAGTTGAGGGATCCATGCCTATTTATAGGCATTTTGCTCCGATTATAAGTAGCAAATTGAGGCGGCAAATTTTTTCCTTGAAGTTGAACATGAAGAAATTTTGCACATCGAAAATAAAAGGCATATGAAAATTTTGGTCTAATCAAGGGACTTCCTTCACCTCAAAATTTCACCAAGTTTCAAGGTTATTTGCTATGAGTTTGTTGCCCAAGTAGAAAACTCATTTCCGCCAATCAAATTGATTCTTCACAAACAAGAAAATAACACTTGAATGGATAAAAATTCTGAAGAAGAAATCGGTCATGCACTTGTAACAAACTCTTAGTTGCTCCATTTGTTACCCAATTAATCATCTATATTTGTGCCCAAGCAAACGACACCTGCCTTTTTAGCTTCAATGAGCCTGATGAACCCACATACTTATTGATAGGAAATTGAGCCATCGCCTCACAAGAATATTTGAATATGATTCATTGTTACTTACTTCCCAAAAAATATGGCAAATATACAACCAATCAAATAATTTCTAATACGATCAAAGCACTACAGAAAGTGAAAGTCGCCAATGAAAGGAAGATACTTCGGGGTTGAAATGAAATGTCAAAGCATAGAAATAATTGCTATCTTCACTACTCTCTCTTTCTATCTCCCCTTAAACATGAACCAAGTCCAGGTATTAGGGGAAGATTTTGAGTTAACGAGGCCAAAACAAATGATTTTTGAAAGGAATCAAATTTTAAAGGTTAATATAAGCTTAGTTAATTACTCTAAGAATCTGTAAAGTCTAAAGGGTTTAAGGTTAAGGCAGTTATGGTAGCTATAGGGTCTCAAACATAAATCAATTAAGTAATTGTTGAGTCTAAAAATTAAATGAGTTACAAGAGTAGGGGAAAGGGAAGGGACAAGGCGGAGTGAAGACCAATTTCACTTGTTTTAGAATTTGGGGAGACATAAGCCTAGTTAGCTATTGTAGGGTTCTTAAAGGGTAAAAATAAAAATCAAATATTTTTTGAGTCAACCCACTTTTAGGAGTAGTATAGATATAGATATACTCATGATAGTTTAGATAATTAAGAAATGTTAAAGGATAAAAGAGGAAAACAAAAGTTTTTCCAAGATAGGTACTTTTTAAAGTAGTGTAGGTTAGTATGTGTTTATAACAATAATTTTAATTATTTTACCAGTTAATAGGCTTAACGGAATCCATTATGACTTGTTTATTAAATGGGTTGAACTTATTTTGCACCCAACCCATTTTAAATCGACTCATAACTAGTCCAACCAGCCCAATTGCCATCTCAACATGAAGGGATGATGCAGCATAAAATAGATTTTGAAATTAGTAATATATCTCCTAGGTGCAAAAAAAAAAAAAAAAAAAAATCTTCCCTTCTCTTTCTTTGATTACATAATTTGAAATTAATTTCTATCCATTATTGTTTTAAAAAAATTGTCAAAATTTTATCAAAATCTATGACTTCAAAAAAACATCAATATGTGTATAATATTATATTAGTGGAGCCCCATGCAATGCATGGTATTTTCAATTCCTCCAATTACAATTCTACAACCCCTTATCCCACCCCATCCCCGACCCTAGGGCAATTATCCATTATTGTGCTAAACTAAGGAAGATGAAAAATTGAAATTTAAAGTAGTTTTATGAGAGTAGTTACATAAGTCACATATAAACTACTTATTATAACTAATGTTATTGACATATAATTTGGGAATATAATGTATCGTGACTATTGGATTGATAGTGTTAGAATTCACTGATAATTTAATATTGAGATTCACTGACAATCTAATAACCACAATCATTAAGTTTCCAAATTATATCCCAATGAGATTGCTCACTTATTATTTCAAGTGTAACTGCTCTCACAAAATTAATTTTAAATTTAAATTTTATATTTTCCTTAATTTAGCACAAATAATGGGTAATTGTTCAATAATATTAGGATTGGAGATGGGGTGGGATGAGGGGTGACAATTTGGGGGGGAGGGGGGAGTGGCGTAGCAATAAGGGTAAGATTGTGATGGAAAAAATAAAAAATACTGAGCATTGCAAGGGGCTCCGGGCTCCGCTAATATCAGAGTAACGTTGCTGAACCTATTTCCAAATAGCATTTCCCTTTCCAAATAGACTTGCTTATCTTCTCCTATTTGTTTTAACATTTAATAGAACTTGCATGTTTGATTGGCAAATGGAAATGGAAATGGAAATGGAAAAAAGTTACTCGTAGTATAATTGGATCAAACATAATTGTAATGACCACAAAAACTTTCCAAACGAACTAGCGAAAGAAGTTGTCATTTAAAGTCGTTGTTCCTTCATATATACCCAAGAACTCCCACGTAAACTTCCGATGTAGAATTTAACATACGCCAATATGGGTCGCCACAATAATAATCGAAACTAACATAAATTGAAAAATTTTCAAACTGCAATGGCAAATTGTATGCTGATATAGTTGTATTGATAGATTCACTTAAGGTTCTGAGTGCTTTCTTCTCTGGTTACCTGAAGTTCAGAATTTGGGTTCTATTCCATACCAGAGAACACTTGATATAGGCTTCCTTGTTGAGAATATGCAGTACTTTCCCCATTTTTTTTGTATCTGCTTGCTATTTATCTTAAAAATTATCTTGAAGTATTCATCTATTCAACTTGAAGTATAAAACAATCAAAGTTTAGTAGCTGGCTCTTTATGTTTGAAGAGACTTCTCATAGAAGGGGCAAGAAACAAAAGAATTTCACTACATTTGATTTGGGTAACAAATGCAAACAGATTAGATTTTGTACGAAAAAATAGTTTCTGAGATGCAAACCAAACATGACCTATATTTTTGGTTTTTTGAGAGCTAGAACCATCTTCATTGTTGTGCATCTCATCTTAAAACAACACGTAGCCACGATGCTGGCTCGCTGAATGTTTTAAGAGACCATTTTCTACAACTTTGAATATACACTTCTCTCTGCAGTAAAAACTTTTAAAACAAGAATAGGAAAAACAGTCTACCAAGCCAGATAGATACCCTTTGGGAAGTTGGTGTAGTCCACACATTTTCCAATCTTTTCTGCTCTAGGTGTTTATTCATGTGTCAAACTTTCTTTGCCTGATCTCTCTGTACTGTAAGAAACACCTTGAACATATCAAGACCTGTTGTGAATGGGATCCCATCCCCTTCGGACTCTTCGTTTGCTTGATTTGTTCGGATCAAATGTCTTGTTGACAGGTGCCTGTTTCGTCTTTGTATTGATCAGGTCTTGAGAAACAACTGCCTGAAGCATGCGCTGGTTCGTCGATACTAGCCCATAATCTTCTTTGCTCCATCTTAGGACAAAGTCAATACTTGACTGGCCAGAAACTTTATGTAGTTGAATTGCTAATATTCCAATGCAAATAAGAAGGATAAACAACACCCTATGAGTACTGCAAACCATTGTTTCTATGCAAACAAGAGAAGGAGAAGTATAGTTTTAGAGGAATAAGAGACTCAACTGAACTGAGATTGTAATCTTTCTATTCTTATGATCCATTCCTCTAGAGATATAAGCCTTTGATTTCTCCCTTATATGATTTGGAGGGGCCCTTTAAAGCATAAAGCAGTGAGGGCCAAATTCCCTAGAGGGGTTTTAGGAGTACATATTGTGTGTAACGGTCACATCCCATTATTATTGACACGTGGTGTCACTATATTCAATAATAAACTTATAAATGAATAATGTGAACCCCACTTGGAATGACATGGCATGGTAGTTACTTGAATATGTGGGATCCACTTGCCCATTTGTAGATTTATTATTAGATGTATGACATTACGTGTCAATGATGATGTGGTATCACCATTACACCTTATATTTTTTTCAAGTTTTAGATTCACTCCCAATGATAAGCCTGCAATCTAAGCAAATTAAGGCTGTTGCAAAGGATCTGACTAGGATGAATAAAGAAAAGATGAAACAACACCCTTGAGAAGATAAGCATCTTTTTTCATTTGCTTCCTTGCATCTCTATCATTTGCCCTGCTTTTGTCTACCAAACAAAGACCAACCCAAGCCTTTTGGAATCCTACCCATCTTGTCATATCACCCGACCATTTCATATTATGGGGATTTTTATTTGGTAGGGGAGGGGGGCTTGCTTTTGTAAATTAGTATTCCGTAGTTATTAAGAAAAGAGAACTAAGTAATCCACGAGGGTAGCACAATAACGTAAACTTGTCTCATTATTAAAGAAAGAAACGGGACTGGCCAGAGAGGCAGAGAGCTAGCCAAAACACCAGTTTGCTAAGGTGTAAGCAGTCATTTGAAGATCCAAAAAATAGTGTATGGAAAGAATAAGGGAATAGAACAAACCCTCCCCAAAAAACCCAAACACTTGCTTTATGCCATTGAAGATCTCACTTTAGAATTCCAAGCTCTCTTCTCTATGCAACAAAAATAACAGTCATGGTTTCTTGTGCTAAATGTTTTTCTTTATGCTTTACCTTTGCTCTCTCTCTGCATCATCATGTTTTTTGTTCATCCAGATTGAGCATCTATTTGTTCTATCAACTACTATGATTGTTATACATTAAATCACATGCAAGTTGGAACATTCTAAAGCAAAGGTAAGTTATGCTTTATCAAACTTGCATGATGATGGGATTCGATGGCGTCTAAAGTTGAAGGGAGACTGGTCATGGTCCAAGTAATACATACACCTCATCTTAGATTTGTTATATAATGTTGATGCTACTCTTCTTTTAGTCTTCCATTTAAAGTGAAAAGATTGATTGAGTTGTTGCTTTCTAGTTTAATTTTAACACCAGTTATAAATAATGTCATTGATGCTTTCATCCACTGTGACATTAGTTTGAATTTCTGTTTTTTTAGTTCAACTGTTAGGGGTATCTGATTAACTTACACGTACCTCTACTAATCTCCTTCCTAGTCTAGTCAAAGGCTTCAGATGCCGCAAGCAAAGATTATATAGCCTAACTGACTACTAAAATTGTCTGAGTTTGATAAACCGTTGAAGGTAGAAACGGATATTTTCGATCACAATCAATCCAAAAAATAATAATCTAACCTACAGAGATCATATATTTTTAGTATAGTAGGTACTGTAGTCTTATCCTTTGGTTAATGTCAATTCCGATTAATTATATAGATTAGCACCTCTTCCTTTGCATGTAGTACTGGTAGGTACTTTTTTAGGTTAATGTACTTGTTAGATGCCATTGCCCTGTAAAAGCTTGTTGCCATTAGAATCATGAGGGAGTACTTTTTTTTTTCATTCAACTAAAGAAAAAGTGAGGATCACCAATAACTCATAATTTTATGAAAACTATTTAAAAGTTGGGATAGTTAGCTTTACGGATTCTGGAGTTTGGTCTTAAAGTGAATGAGTTTCTGTAACTTTAATTCAAACATATGGGTTTCATAGGGATTGAGCCCTTGGTTCCAATGCCCATAATTTTTTTCTTTTTGATTTATTGATCGGACTCTTCTCTAGTTTGGTTAAAAACAGATCATCTATATCGGCACGAAGACATTCATAATAGATAAATTCCTTATGATCTGACCCCTAAAAAAATTATAACTCTCATATCTATTACCACTTGAACTACGCCTTACGATTATAACATTTTGTCTTCGTCTAAAGTATCACAACTAAGAAAGAGGACCCCCGATCTTTTTTGAAACTAATCCGTTAGGTAGCACAAATGGAGAAAGACTTCAAGGTTTAGTAGATCAAGATGGGTGTCGTAAGCGAAACCTTATTTAATTCAATAAGACTGTGATTGAAACGTTTCTTGATTGAAACGTAAACATGGTGTGAAGCTCAAAGGCAGAGGGATGATTGTTGGTGGGCCAACTTAATGGATTAAGATTAGAAAGAATAAGTTCTTGATGGGCCAGCAAGTATATGCTCAAGGTTTACTAAGGAGACAAAAGCTGGACACAACAATGAGAATGTCACCATAGTACAGATTAAAAGGAGATATGGTTCTACTTTGAGATTATTTCAACAAGTAGCAGTTACAATTTCTGAGAATAAATAGAAAAGACACTGAGATATGCGAATATATACTTTCATCGGCAAAAAAATAAATCGTGTTCAGTTGTGAAACATTATGTCACGAGTCATAAACACATCAAACTGGTTGATATTAGCAGCTTCACCACAGCCAGTTTAGTAAATAGAATAGTCGTGTCAACCAAACTGAACATCTAACGTCGTGCTGGATCAAGTTGTATTAATATCTCGAGGTAAAAGCATTGCTTGTTTGACAAGAAATTAACGAATTTCTGGTGCCAATCAGCTTTTTTTCCCAGCAGCTCATGCTGAGAGATGCAGGATCCACATATACACAAACATTTAACAGATAAAAGGGACAAATACTGTTATGGTCATGGCATTTTTAACAAATATACATGCTGAGAGGCCCTTCAAATGGTATTTGGTAAGGGCAGGTGTTAGGTATTAAACATGTTCCTGCTGTGGAGGCACTGAGGGCACTGTCGATCCTATTGTGAACTGTACACCCCTTGTTTGGCCTGATTGTAGCACAAATGCAAATTGTGTTGCTGCCAATGCAGCTGCCTCCTATATTATCAAAATACAAACGCATCATAGAAACGTTAATGAGTCATGTACACCAATAAGCACAATTCAACGGTCTGATCTGATCTTTAACAGGCACTTTGTTAAAATGGAATGCTGAAACTAAAAACTCTAAAGAAAAGGGATTGAGAGTATGATCATAGACACAAACCTGTCTTTGCCTACGACGCTGCAAGATACTGATAGCCCAGGCCATGATGCAGCACGGCAAAAGAAACCCAGCAACTCGAAGCAAGAAAAGCTGTGAAGAATCCAATCCAGATGATAAACTCAATTAAACCACAAGCTAATTATAAACCATGAAATAGTCCATATAAAAGTTCATATCCCACTTACAGAAAAAATGGTAGCCGAGTCTTCATCATCAGCTTCTGTCACGACTAATGAATGCCGTAATAATAGAAGAGCCATTAACTGCCAATCAAAACCAGTGAGATTTAAAAATCTTAAAACTCTTAACCAAGAGGTTCATGAACGTCAGACACTGGTAGCACCATTCCATTTATTACAGGCATGTATGTAGCTCCTAAGAGTCGAAACCAGGCAGTATATTATTCAACAAAAGATGACCTTTAACAGCTCTCTCTGACACTGTAAATCTGTTATCCTCTTTGTTACACGAGCAGTAATTCAATAGTACATGATTTCCATTATGCTTACTCCTTTTGAAAGTGAAACTAAACATGAGAAGGAAATAGCTAATTGCAAATGAACATGAAAAATAACCCACCAAGCCCACCTGACTTTTTCATGGTTTATGATCACGAGGACTTACAATCAGTGCAGCTGAACGACAAAATGTTGGTTTGCTGGCATTTGTAGCATTGTAATCATCATACTCAGCTTCCAAAAACTGATGGTCGGCCTCAGCAATTGCTAAAAGGCGAGGTTCATGCAAATGCAAAGGTGTGCCCAAGATTTGCCATCTTCCCCTGCAAGAATGTCAAAGGATTAAAGCAAGAAAACAGAATGTAATCATGCTATATCTTCAATCAACCATCTAAATCTTTTTGCTGGGAGCATAATCCAAGTTGATTCATTTGTTGCACATCATATCGTAATATCAATATGTATACATACACACATGCAAACACAAAGTCTAGCAAAAACAAAAACATTTCTTAATAAATGCACATTTATAAGAACAAAAAGCACAAAGATACAAAACTTACCCCATATCTATCATAGTCTCTTCAGGGTGAGATTGAGTAGGTGCTGTAAAACCAGGTTGGTAAGGCTGCAAAAGGCCCAAAAAAGCACAACAGATGAAATACTGTAGTTTAACAAAAATATATTCTAACAAATGAGCCTCGATCGTACAGATTTCAGACCACACCAGCATCTAAGTTGTATCAAAGAACCCCCATGTGCTACATACGAGCAGCCACATTTCTTATTCTCCAAAAATGAAATATACACAAACACACATACACTATACCACACACACAAACACTATAATACAGTTAGTATATTATAGAACTACTTGATGCAGATCACACACATTCAAGGAGGTGTATTCAGCTATTAACATGGGACATTTATACGCATAAACCATGTTGATTCAAACACACATCAGATATGGCACATTGTGGTTCCTAAAAGCGTATCTGATACTTCGATTTTCCAAATTTTGGCCATTACAATTATAAAATAAAAGGTTAATAGCACTTTTGGTCCTGCAAGTATATTTGTTTTGTCAGTTTGTTCTTCAATATATCAATTGTATCAATTTATTCAATTTTTGTTTAAACGGTCCCTAAACAGATGGTTCGTTAAGTTTTTGAGGAAAGTGATCACGTGGTTATTTGTAATCAAAAAACTTGATGGCCCGTTTATGTAAGGATTATTTAAACACAAATTGAATACTTTAACAACCAAATTGACATATTGAGGACCAAATTGATAAAATGAGAATCCTTTAAGTACTAAAAGTGCTATTAACCCAAAAATAAATTTCATATTATAAGTGTTATTAACCCAAAAATAAATTTCATATTTTTGGAGCTTGGGCTGCACTTCTTTAAACACACCCGAACAGAAGTCGAATGTAGCCGAACTGATTCTTAAGAGGACTGGTGCTGAACACCTTGGAAATCAGAAAAAGTCTTCCTTAAGTGACTTTTAATGCAACATTGTTAATACACCGCCACAAGTATATTATGCTTTACAACATGGAGAAAGCCATAATTGCAAAGAAGAATTATAACAAGAATAGAAAATGCAAATGCATTTAATGTATAATTCCTTCACGATCTTATGCCATTTTCTTTTTTTTGAGTACTTCCCCTCTATCTTAAACCAAAAAAATAAATAAATAAATAAAGCACTCACAGTAGCTCATAGATATATGTTCCAATAGGCTTCTATATAGTGGGTAGCATTAGCAGGGAAGTACATAAGATTATGTTTTTATCAGAGGTGACTCATTGAGTGATCTCAAGTTTGCCAAAATTCTTGATCTCACCATGTTTCTTTAAATTGATATTCGGATTCTTTACACGTGATTAAAAAGCTCAAGACGCAATGGCTTGAAGTATGCAGACAACCTAGAATTGAAGTTCCGTAAGTAATTCCCAAAACATGAGACATTATAGCAAGCAATAACATACCTGATGGCATATTTCACAAATTATGTCTCCTTTTTCATTACACCAGTGCTGAACACACTTTCTGTGAGCATACTGCATAAAGTTGTACACATCAAGCAAAACACTGTTAATTGCATATAAACAAGATCATACAAATGAAAAAGAAGAAAAAGAAAGCAGAAGTAGATAAAAACATTAAATAACGTCTACGATGCATGCATGGCAAATCAATATATCTCAGCTAACATTCTCCTAGCAACCCCATGGCATCATCCAATGAACAGTGGAATCAGTTCCTTGTAAAAGAACCTTCAAAACTAATGTCCTAGAAATAAAGAGATCAAGAGATACTACACCAACTTGATAAGGATTGTTCGAGTAAAAACATAAAACAATTCGACAAATCAACTTTCTTCTTTGAGCCCAATAGGTAGTTGATTCAATGAAGACATTATTGTAAGCTTGTGAAGGAATCGTGTCGTGCTCTCTCTCTCTCTCTCTCTTACACACACACACCCCTACCCATCCATACCCACAAATACACTACACATATTCAGTGTGCAAAACAATGGCAAGTGAGAATCCAAGTAGCACCACCACCAATTCCAAATGGAAAAGCAGGAGAATGCTTTCAGGGTCTGCAAAGCAAATTATGAAGGCACCCGAGCCACTCATCCTAATTGAGGGATATCATCAATTGTTGTTTAATATGAGGTAATGGGAAACTTGGACCCCAGCTGAATGCATTCTTTTTGAGAATATGTTTCTGAAGAAGTAATTTCAATTTGGGTGAAATTAAAGGCAAATGTTCAATAGTCCCCAATGCTGAAGAAAACATAGAACAATTCTGCATAGGCTTGAGGAAAGAATCTCAGTGCACACACACCCCCCCCAAAAAAAAAAAAGAAAAAAGAAACCCCTTAAAAACAGCATAATTTTCCAAATAACTGTCCTATGATATGAGCATTCTCTCCCAATTTCCACTAAATCTTCCTTGTAATTATCACTTTCAGTCACCCACATGACCTTGACAACAAATATACAACCGACAAATTGACAAATCTCTAACAAATATTTTGACCTGAGCTTCAATTCAATTAGAAAGCCATTTACCACCCAGCTTTCGTAGACTGATTTCAAATAGTTATATGCATGTAATATTTTTTATTTTCGCTTCCAGACAATATTAATTTTGATGTTCTTGAACCAAAAGCCCCAAAGAAAAAACTCATGCCTGCTTTCCAAGGAAACGCAACATCAAGACCACACCTTTTAGCATCAACACCCCATACACAATGCCTCAATCAACAAACAAATTACACCCAAAAATTGCCACATAATTATATAATCGAAAAAAAAAATTACCTTAAGACTGCCTCTACAAGAACAGGGACTTTCCAAATTCTTGACAGAATCCTCCTCCTGACAAATGCGGCACTCCGCCACCCCTATAAGCGGCGTTTCCTCATCCGAACCCTCATTTCCCTCCTCCTCCGCCACCACCGCCACCACCACCACCACCGCAGAAGAAGACTGTCCCACCATATCCGTGGGCTTTTCACTGGACGCAGAAGCCACAGTCACTTGGTCCCCTTGTACGGTCACATCTGGGTTCTCCAGCCGATCAACGCACACAATCAAATGATCATTCATTTTTCAATTACACTACCTGTGAAAACTATCCCATGAAAAGAAAACCAAAAAGAGAATAAAATTAACATCTTGGTGTATTTAGAATTTAGAAAACTCCAGAAATCCACCGAGAATTTGGAAAAAACTGAGGATCAGAGAACTGGGATGAAATCGACAGAAGAGAGAAATGTGTAATACCTGGAAAAAGGAAATGGGAAATGGCGATTCGTCTCTCTCTCCCTCCCTCCTAGTCCTTTGAACTCTGTCGTCTCTGCGTTTTCGTCTTTGCTTCGGTTTGGTAATTGGTGACGTTTTTGTAATTGTTGTTCAACGGCTTCAAGCCGTGAATTAAATGAGTGGGGCAGAGCTGTCAATTGACGTTTCTTTGGCGCGTAACAGTTGTTATCCATCAACAGTAACACTATGTTGTTATCGTCCCGTGTCACTATTTTATAATAAATAAATTTAATAGGTAAAAAAATGAATATTATTAGAATATTTTACAAAACTGGATCCTTGTCATTTGAACAGAGGTGTTGTTCCTAAAAAAGATTGAAAGGTGTTAATCTTGAGAAGGATACTATTTTGAAATGGTACCGTTTTAAAAAATAACATCACCGTTAAAAAAACTAACATCAAAAGTTCCGAACCCAATAATTCAACAGGTATCAAAACTCTTAAGAATATCTAGTAGATTATATTTTGTTTGATAATGATTACTGATCGATTCAAAATCAACTGAGTTAGGCCTAATATATCTAGAGGAGCCCAAACCCAATATACCAAGAGGAGTCCAAGGCCCAATGTACCAAAGGGAGATCAAGACACCAGCGCCTGAATGAGACACCCAAGGGGGGGCCGCCTAAAAAGGGTCGCCTAGGCCTCTGGCGTCGCCCATGGGGACCCCTGCTTCTTCTCTGCTCCACACCCTCTCTTCCTCAAACACTGCTTCAGTGGTACCCTCCTCATCTTATCAATCCAATCCAGCTCAAGATCTTCCTCTGAAGAAATAGGAGCACGAGGAAAAGAATATCAAGATACGTATTATGAAGATCTAATCCTACCATAACTGTACTTACTTGTGAAGACCCTGGTCCATTACCGGACCCCTGTCTTCCAAGGGCAATCCTCTCATTACCGGGATATCCCGCCCTCCATCAAAGGATTTCGACTGACCTGCGGGGCAAACCCTCACAGTAGCCTTTACCTCTGTCCCACATCGGGGAAAGAGTCGTCTCCCCACCCCCATATAAGCCGAAGCACCATATGAGAGCAGTACCCAAGTACCACAGTGTGTTACTTGGGTACTGCTCTCATATGGTGCTTCGGTTTATATGGGGGTGGGGAGACGACTCTTTCCCCGATGTGGGACAGAGGTAAAGGCTACTGTGAGGGTTTGCCCCGCAGGTCAGTCGAAATCCTTTGGTGGAGGGCGGGATATCCCGGTAATGGGAGGATTGCCCTTGGAAGACAGGGGTCCGGTAAAGGCTACTGTGAGGGTTTGCCCCGCAGGTCAGTCGAAATCCTTTGGTGGAGGGCGGGATATCCCGGTAATGGGAGGATTGCCCTTGGAAGACAGGGGTCCGGTAATGGACCAGGGTCTTCACATTACTAAAAAGTAGTGACCGCCTCACCAAACCTATGTAATGTAAGTCATCTTCATATAGAGGGCATCACCTTTGAGGCCTTTCTACACATATTACTTTTCTCTCCTAAAGCATTGAAATACTTCCGGAGTACACTCTCCCGGTGACTTTTATTCATCAATAAAGATCTCCGGCCACCACTGCCGTTCTTGAGAGTGAAGTAGGTCATCCGGACCGAACCACTATAAATCTGTTTGTTTGTTCTTATTTACTGTTTTGTCATTAATTACCTATTTACTGCTCATTAATTGCATCCTTACATATACTCGACTGTTGATCTTACGCTGTGGCATGACATAAAACCTTATCAATCACAAACTAATACAATGAAGCACAATCAAAACGTTCGATGGAAGACTGTCATGAATGATGGCAAAGCCATACCTTTCATCATCCAAATCAATTCCAAGATTGTCATGAAGTAGGGCCACAAAATATGCTGAAGAGAAGCAAATCCTCTTCATGGAGTAAGTGGAATTTCCTCCTTAATTTTGACTAATCCTCACCACAATCGTTAAGAGAATATTATTTGAATTTGTGTTTTTGTTGTTGGGTTTCGAGTATTGATGGACAAAAAGATTGGTCGATCGGTGAGTTAGAATTGGGCGGAATTGATGCTTGATCGAGTCCATATTACCGTCATTGTTGTTGAGTTTTGGATCAAGGGTACAGGCATTCGATCATCACATCAAAAGTTGGAGATTTGTGAATGTTTTAGATTCAAATTTCATCGTCCCTCTCTCTATAATAGTGCTTGATCAAAAAGATAAGAGTAGCTCTAATGTCAAACTGATGGCCTACCCAGAGCCTGCCATATAGTAGTGGGCTGGAACTTCCCATTGAACTGTCAGTTAGCCCATTTAAGGCCAGTGCAGTCGGCCAATTTTGGTCTCTCTTTCAGTAGATTTGCTGTGCCACACTTTCAAGAAGTATTTGTTTTGATGCCAGATAGATAATGGATCCAGACCCAAGCAAAAAAGTTAGATGGTCATGGGGCAGCAGGATGTACACTAGCTGATAGTGGGATTCAGATTTCACCTCTATATATTTTTTAATTTTCTTCTTTACGAATTATCCATCATGTATGAGCGATGGGTCCATCATTTTTTAATCCACAACTCTCCACAAGTACCGTGTTTAACCACTGTTTTGCAAGGATCAATTCTTCCAAGAATCATATGTTCAAAAGTTCACCTAGAATCATCAACAATCGGCTCTGATATCATTTGTTGGAAAACTAGGAAGTTTAATGATCAAAGATTCAATATACATATCTCGAATTCATACCCACCTAAAAGTGTAAGTCCATAAGTAATGAGTGAAGTCCATCAACAATATATAAGTTAGATACTATCCAAAACACATACACCTTACATAAATTACTATCAAAAAAAATTCAATCATATACCGAAAATAACTTGTAAGATGCAACCCTCTCTCTGATTGATTCATTTGTAGGCATTGGTCATTAAAACAATAAAATAAAATAAAAATATAAGAGAGTTTTACATTAGAGCCATTATTTTTCCGTATCATAGCCAGCGTCTGCTTACATACGTCTGTATAGGTTTTCCTTTTCTTGGTGCTGCTTTTAACCATCGCTAATGCGCTTGCATAATCAAGCTTTTCCAACTGTCGTTGTAGCTGTGGATGTGATTCTGCTCCACAGCATGAGCACTTTGAGTTGTTCACCATCGTAAAGGTTTGCTAGTGGGCAATTATTTATCCGACACAAATGTCCCTTAAACAGTTTGACTACAACATATATGTTTCTGTGGGAAACATTCCTCTATAGATATATACACACATATATATATTCGTCTATGTGTACAGAGAGAGAGAGAGAGAGAGAGAGAGTGCTCCCACATATACTGTGTTACAGTGGCAGATACGACCCAAGGATAAAGGATATGGTTCTTGCATCAGGATCAGGGTCGTCGAGATGGAATGATTTTAATATTTCGATATTTTAAAGTTGAGTTTGCAAGAAACTTCTTTAGAATGAATAACTTGAAGTGGGTTGTTGGTAAATCATTGCGTATACACATTTCAAGTTCAAATAACAACTTTGAATTTAAACCATACATGATTGAGACAAATCTCGTTATAGAAAAATGACTCGACAAAGAGAATAGATGTCGCTAAGAGTGTCAACTCTAATCGGTCGGGACGAACCCAACACGACGCAATTGTTAAATATGCATAATAAATGATCTAAATTAATGTTTGACATTTAAAATACATTAAATAGATTTTTTTTTCCGTAAATCTTAATACAAACATGACATAAAAAAAATTGACATATAAATTACGTGATACGACACAAATTGACACCCTAGGCATTCCCACTTACACACTGGATTTGGATAGCAGGGCCAGAAAGTTTTTGTTTAATGGAAGGTGGTATTGACAAACACATGTGAGGTCACCTGTTTACTAATGTGCTTAGAAGCCATCCATTTTTAAAACCCACCTGAGCTTCTAAAGGTGCTAACCCACTGTCCACTCTCTGCGGTGGCTTTGGCACAAAAACTAACCCATACGAATGCCACCATCTCTAATTTGGACCAGCTTGGCATGCCACTTATGCAAGTTCTATGACCCTTTTTGATTCGCTTTCCCCAAAAAATCAGAAATAGAAAAAGTTTCAACCTTAGGTTTGATATCATCGTAAGGGTGTCCAACTCCGGACTTTCAATGGGTCGCACCTCAGAATCGTGTCATGTCTAAGTCATATTATATTGTGTTAAAATTTGATTAACTCATACTCAAGTCATTTATAGTTTTGTATACTTGGTTTCATATTGTATTAAGTTCATGTTGTGCATAAACAATGTATTAGTCATGCTAAGCAATTTCATGTCGTGTTTAGTAAGATTAAATTCAAATATGATAATTTCACTCCATCTTTGATTCTGGTAGAACAGTCATTGTCCAAAGCAACTGCTCACCTCAAATCCTATTCTACAAATGAAGTTCTTCTACGTCTTTCACATTATGCATGTTGATATATAACTATTTGTTGGATGCTGAATGCCATGGTAGGCCGAGGTTATGAGTATTAGTGGGCCGTCTAATTCAAGATACCACTAACTTCAACCAACTAAACCTAATCCGGTACAAAATTTTCAATTTTTCTCAATGCTATATCACCCACGTTGTTTTAACCGTGGTTCATGATGACTGATTCACTGCTTCAGACTGTCTAGAAGTCTTGTTTGGATGGCAATAGATTAATAATTTTAGGAGAATTACATTCAGACTCTCTGAGATTTGTTATTTAATTACTTAGATCTTTTGACATTTAAAATATTATATACAGACCCTTTAAAATTTGTACAAATATTAAATATTTAAAATTTTACAAAAAAAATTCGTTTTCTATTATATCATTTATTGATATAAAATTAAAATTAAAAATTTAATTTTTGCTTAAAAAAATTATAATTAGTATACAATTATATTATCTGTTGGAATAAAACTAAAAAAATAAACAAGGGGTCAAATTGTAATTGACGCAATATCTTTTATCTTTAATAAGGGTAGTTTGGTTATTTAATAGATAGTATAATTATATACTAATTATGATTTTTTAAAGAAAAAATTAGATTTTTATTTTTTTTGATAAATGACATAATAGAACATAAATTTTGGTTATAAAATTTAAAATTTTTGATATTTTATATTTGATTAGATTATTTTTGATCAAAATATAACATTTTAAACTTAAAGAGTCCAAGTATTATACGTCTATAAACTTGAGGGAGTCTGAGTATAATTTATTAATGCATATTCTAACAGATATTGACGGTAGAGGTCTAAGTGTTACATGCATACAAATCTCAGGGGATTTGTGTGTAATATTTTAAATATCAGGGGATCTAAATACTCAAGTGACAAACCTCAATAATTCTCCCAATATTTTTTTATATTTTGCCTTTTTCATATATAAAGTTGTGAGTGTAGATATATAAAAATGGACATCACTACGAGCTTACAATTATGTAATAATAATCAGATTCCACTGACAATGCAATACATAGAGTGTAGCATTGGATAGGGTTGAGGATCTTTGTCGCATTTTGCTGCCTAGTTCTTGGTCCCCACAAAATATTCTTATAGATCATTTTGCGATATGATTATTTCACTCGAATAATTAGAAGAGAATTAAAAGACAAACTAGAACTCTTTCGTTTTCTTATACTAAATTAAACGAAATTACATAGAATAATAACTCATAATCTTACCTTAATGCTCCATTTTTTTTTCTCTATGCTTTTAACCACTATCCACATTAACATCCCCCTACTTCTCTACTTGTAAAATAACACACAACTAATACACGTCGTCTTCTACTATGTCGATATTGACACCCAACAACACAATTTATGTATGAGTTACGTGCAAAAGTCATCGCAATGAAGTAAAGGAATCTATTGCTATAACTAGTAATATATCATTTTTCGTTTCCTTCATGAAAATGCTTAGTTCGAGATTTCGAGTCACAAGATCAATATCTCATTTTTCTTTCTTTTTCTCCCTTTACGGATGCTTATTTCTATTTAGAAATCGGAGAAAATAACAAAAGTATAGTCAATCAACTACATATATAATAATATCTTGAAAGGGGATTAAAAAGGCTAACCTATTCAATGAGTGCTATTAAACAACTCAGTCATTGCTATAATTTTTACAACAGACAAGACCCAAAAGAAAGAACTTTTCTCCAAAAACCTGTGTGTGGTTGTGTGTTGGGGCAGCATTGTTAGTTGTTTTATTATGATTATTTATTCTTTTGTTAGTGTTTTTTTTTCTATCTTTTAGGTTTGATATTAATGAAAAACAGAACATGCAATGTTTTCTCGTGGAACAGAAGAAAGTGGGTTTGAAATCACTAACAATTTTTAACTTGGCACAGAAGAGAAGGAGAAGTTACAATTGCTCAAGAGAAGTCACGATCGATCACAGACACTCATGATAGATCATGAAAAATACAGTATCGATCTCAACAATTTATGATTGATCATACCCTTTGAAGTTGTAATTTACATCTCAAAAAGGTTATAACTTAGTCTTAAAAAGCTATAATTTTCGGTACTGGTACTGCCGGCGATACCTTAGAAATTCCCTTGAATGTAAGTAGGTAACTAGGTATGCATGCTTTGATGGAAGAAAGGCAAACGTCTCTTCTGAAAGAAATCCCAAGAGAGATGGAACTGCGTTCCTGAAGAAAAAAAAAACACAATTTTTGTGAGTGGGTTTCCCAGTGGAAGTTGGTCTTGTAAATGTAAATGTGCCTGATCACAGTTTTCTCTTTGTAATAAACTTAAGAGTAATGCTACATGGACTTAACAAATAGCATTACTCTAAACTTAAATGGCAATCTACTTATCCTCACCATCTTCTTTTATGAATCAAGCAGTTTTCTACTGACAAATAAAGGAATAACAATAGAGAAATGAAAAGAAAAGACCAGCATTTTTTAACCCATCGTTTCATAATTCAGCCTCTCCTTATTATATATGAGCCACCATTGTGGATAGTGCTCAACCAGAAAAAAAAAAAATGGAGTCCTACAATGCAGAGACTATGGAGAGCCAAAACAAGGTCCAACCTTCACAGCAACCAGGCAAAGGCACTACCTTCTTCAGAACTTGCTTCAATGGACTCAATGCCTTATCGGGTAGCGATTAATGACTAACTTTTTCCCTAAAGTTTTTTGTGTTCTGAAATTTCTTAGTCTATGGTTATTACAATTATGGTTTTGTAGGTCATAACATGACAATAATTTCCATAATCTGTTCCTCAGGAATAGGAATACTATCAATTCCCTATGCACTGTCTGAAGTGGGGTGGCTGAGCTTGATCATCCTTTTTATGGTAGCAATTCTCTTGTTCTACACTGGATTAGTCCTGCGTCGATGTATGGATGCAGACCCTCTCATCAAAACCTATCCCGATATTGGTCAGCTGGCCTTTGGGAGCAAGGGAAGAGTCATGATATCTACTTTCATGTACCTTGAGCTATACTTGGTTGCAGTAGAATTTCTCATATTAGAAGGTGATAATCTACATAAGCTCTTTCCCAATGCATATTTACATATTGGTGGCCACACAATTGGAGGAAAGCAAGCCTTTGTTTTGCTCACTGCCCTTATGATTTTGCCTACAACTTGGTTAAGGAGTTTGGGTTTGCTTGCTTATGTATCTGCTGGTGGGGTACTGGCTTCTATTGTTCTGGTTTGTTCTGTTTTTTGGGCTGGTGCAGTTGATGGTGTGGGGTTTCATGAGAGAGGAATGCTTTGGAAATGGAGTGGACTTCCAACAGCAGTAAGCTTATTCACAGTCTGTTATGGTGGCCATGCAGTTTTCCCAACGCTATGCACTTCCATGAAAGATAGAAGTCAATTCCCCAAGGTAAAGCTATGATTACCAAACTATGACAATTAGGGTGTATTTGACTGGGTATTAAAGGGTGACCACCGGATCACCTAGCACCATATAATTGATAAACAATAATGTTATTTTGATTTAATTTGTTGATCTAATCCACCACAGTCATTGGATTGGTAGCGGGTCCTAAAGAATATTGAGACTCGCTGTCAATCCAATGACTACAGTCTTCTGGTGATTAGGTCAGTAAATTAGGTCCAAATCACATTATTCATTGATAAATCGCAATGCCATGTGATGGTATTAAATGAGACCTAATCGATAATTTTTTCTTTGCAGAAGATTTTTTAGATAGATGTTAATGTATTATAGTTTTGCCCCCATAAAAAAAAAACTAGTTGGGACAATTGTAAAGGTTTGGTTATTCAATTTTGATTTCAGCATCAAGAATTCAAGCTGTGAAAACATCTTTTCACATACTGGTAAGACTGTAAACATCTGATCTTCTCCAGAACTTGTAGTTGTGAGTGTCCATGCACTGGACTACCTTTTTTTATTTACCATTAATTCAATTGTTTTAATCTTACTAGGTTTCTAGTTCCGCCCCGGATACAATGATAGATCAATTATTACCACCGTTATGAATTGGATTGAAATTAATTGTTCAATCACATCGCATGCTATATTCAAACAAAACATGCTCTTACGATCATGACCTTCATTCCTCTTTAGTTCTGTTTGAAAAATCAGCATCACAGGAGCACCATAACTTTATTTTGCTTAATACTAAATGTCTTTTTTCCCTGCACTACAGGTTTTACTTGTCTGCTTTGTTCTGAGCACCATCAGTTATGCATCAATGGCGGTTCTAGGCTACCTGATGTTTGGAGAAAATTTGATGTCTCAAGTGACTTTAAATCTTCCCACTAGAAACATAAGTTCAAAAATTGCTATTTACACAACATTGATCAACCCCATCACCAAGTATGCCATAATTGTTTCTCCAATAGCAACAGCTGTTGAGGACTCATATCCTTTCCGGAACAGCAGAGCCCTTAGCATCCTCATCAGATCAGTTCTGGTGATCAGCACTGCTGTTGTGGCATTAACTGTTCCATTTTTCGGCTGTGTGATGGCATTTATTGGTGCATTTTTGAGTACCAGTGTCTCAATGTTGTTCCCCTGCTTATGCTACCTGAAGATCAACAAAGCTGCTCGAAGTTTTGGCCCCGAATTGATGCTGATTACGATAATTATGGTGATGGGTTCACTTGTAGCTGTTGTGGGTACCTATAGTTCACTGAAAGAAATTGTAAAGCACATCCAACCACAATAAATAAGTTACTAATAATATCAGTAACTCAACTTTATAAGAATTCTGACTATTGTAGACGTTTCTCAGCATCAGAGTCAGTTTATGAAAGGAGCAAGACATACATGTTAGGTTTTAATTTTCTGATTGAAAAGAAATAACATAGCACACAACACATTCTGCAATGAATTTCTTGAAATAGATGACAGAAAATTTAGCAGTGTGTAAGATGATTAGACATTTTTACATAATCCGTTCTACAAATAAAACAAAATTATGATTCAGTATATAAATCAGTCTGAATGACACCAAATGATTGATTGGTGATCGCCAACGTAAATGATTACTTCAGCAGCCACAAACTTTTGGGTCTCTATTTTTTTTTCTAATCAACTTTTTCTTCAGTCTGAGTGCCAATAAGGACCACACCATATGTGTACCATATGGAGCATCCTGTAACTCTCAAGCACAGGATGTTCCATATGGTACACCTATGGTGTGGTCCTTATTGGCATTCCCAAGTTCCCAGCTCTGCTCCGGTCCCTTATTAATCAACTCAATAGAGCTACATCCAGCTTCCTTCATTCCAATTGGACTCCATTCAGTCTCTCTGACTATGTTCCCTTCCTTTGCCTCTACCACACTCGTTTGATCTGACATTCTCCCAGCAATGGCATATGTACTGGAAAGAATGATCAAATCTGCTGGGTGTTTATCAATTTCCTGCAATACTCTGTTGACAACTTCCCCAAATCAACGTTTCCATAAACTCTGCATGCTGCAAGTAATGCACGCCATGCAGTGGCATCACCCTCAATGGGCAAGCTCTTGATTAGTCTATGTGCTTCCTCTAGCAACCCTCCACGACCCAAGAGATCAATCATGCAGCCATAGTGTTCGAGCTTAGGTGTCAAGCCATATTTTCGAATCATCCTCTCGAAACAGTCCATTCCCTCCGTCACCAGTCCTCTATGGCTACAAGCACTCAACACAGCCAAGCAAGTGACTTCATTAGGCCAAAACCCTTCCTCCTCCATCCTGTAAAAAAGTGTAATGGCATTTTTCGCCTGCCCATGGAACCCGTATCCCAATATCATGGCTGTCCAAGATTTCACATCTTTGGTCTCCATTCTATCAAAAATATCAATGGCCTTCCCCAGTAACCCACATTTAGAATACATATCCACTAGCACTGTACCAAGAACTGCATCCAATACCAACTGCTGCTCCTTGACATAGTCATGGACACACTCACCTGCAGCCAAAGCTCCAGAGGCAGCACAAGCTGAAAGTAACCCAGCCAGTGTAGATGAATTGGGTTTCACTCGTCCCAGTTTCATTAACTGTAGTAAAGCTAATGACTCTTCTAGCAGGCCACTTTTAGCATACCCATCCATTAAACAGTTCCATAGAACAATATCCTTTATATGAACTTCATCAAAAACTCTACGTCCTAAATTGATGTAACCAGTTTTCCCATACATTGCAATTAAAGCAGTGACCACATTCAAATCAAGGCAAAACCCAATCTTGATGCACTGCCCATGTAGTGACTCTCCTCCCAAAAGATTATCCAAATCAGTAACAGCTGACAAAGCACTCAACATTGTGGTGACACCAACACCAGAGCCATCCCTACACAATTGTCTGAACAAAATTAGAACCACAGCATGCTGAGATACATGAAGATAACCACCCATCAAGGTGTTCCACGACACCGAATCTCTTTCTTTAGGAAAGTCATCAAACAGTTGGTGGGCATCTTCAATTCTTCCACAAACACCAAAGAAGTGCAAAAGGGTATTCCTTACGTTGATAAACAAATCAAACCCAAATTGAATAACAATTGAATGAACCCCAAAGCCGGTCCAAAAAGCCAATACACGGGCACAAGATTTGAGGGTTGTGATAAAGCTGAACTGGTCTAGCAAAATATTTTGAGCCCTCATGTAATTGAAGACAACAAAAGCTTGTTTCGGTCATCACTAATCGAATAGCCTCTAAGCATAGTATTGAACATAAAAAGATTTGGGTTTTGTATACTTCTGAAAATAGAGGCTGCATAGTTTATATCTAGTATTGAAGCTGCAAGAAGTTTGCTCAATGTGAAGGGTACGAGATCAAGACCAGTTTTGATCATTGAGCCATGGACTTGAGTGATTTCAGTGGCTTGACTGCAAGATTTAATAAAGATACGAGCTTTTGCTCTGAGGAAAGTACAGAGTAGTGTCTTGAGAAATGGTGAGTCAACCAAAATTTGAAATTTTGCTTCAGGTGCGAACTAACGGTTATGGTCATGAGCCAGAAGTCGGACTTCTCGCGCGGACTTTGTAGTTCAGGAGGAATAACCCAGACAATAGTCCAACTTTGGATATTGCTCGAGTGTTTTGGTTTTATCCAATATGTACCATTTATACATAACACATATTTCGATATGATTGTACATGAATAGTTAAACAAATATATGGTTTAAATACAATAAAAATGCGATACAATCCATCCATAACCATAGCTTGTAATGTTTTAGAAATAAATTATTGGAGTCCTCGTGACCACAAGTGTGAGCTGTACAATAGTTTGAGATACCAAACCTAGGATAGACTTAGTCGAGACTCTTGAGACGAGGAACAAAGTTACAAAGGGATATATTTAGCTTTTACCCCTCTTATGCTTAGTTTTGTCGGCGTTCAAGGTTAAATGGATAAGTTTATCTTGCAAAGTTGGTTTAGTATGCATAGTTGTGCTCTGATTCATTGGAGCATTTATACCTTCAAATG